AGTTTTTAAACGATCTTTTGATTGATTATCCATTTAAAAAAGACACAAATGGAATTATTTATAAAAAAAAAAAATGAATGATGGCGGGATCGAACCCCGACCGTCGGTGTGGTAGGCAAGCACGTTACCATTAAGACAACGCGCTCATTCTTGAAATATAATTTTATTAGTGGTATATCTGCAACATATTGAATAATTTTTTTCATTGAAATTCCACAAGATGTGGTTCCCCCCTTCCGCACGTTCTACAGTCGGGTAAATTTCAGTTGAATAAATAAAAAACAAAAAGTATTCACACCGCAGAAAATAAAATTCACCCCGTCGACTTGAGACACCCCAGCATTGCAATAAAAACTTGGTTAATAAAAAAAAAACACTCCATCATTGCTTGTGGCGCCCTCCCTCTCTTGGGGTGCAGTACTACGATGCCGCTGGGATACCCCCAGAACTGAGCCTCTACTTTTATCAATCCTCTTTGGTGCATCTGACGGGAGTTATCAGTCGATTTTGCGGGAATTATGACGAGTTCGGGGGTTAATGGGGAGGTGAGACAAGGGTGGAGGCTGAAAAAAATGGGTACTAGGTATTTTTCGTTCAAGTGGAAGACAGAAGGTGGTGAAAGCACTTCAGGGAGGAATTCCGAGAATTTTAGGAGCAGCGAGGAGGTGCTGGAGGGCAGTGGGAGGATTGGATTTTTTAGGAGTATTAAGAAAAAATTGTCGATTAAGAATTTGTGCAGATCGAAGAGAAAGGTACGTCTGAATTATCCTGAAATTAAATTTTATATAAAACAATAATACGATTTTAATGCAATTTAAACAAATTCTAATAGAAATCCATTGTTGGATTTTTAATTACATTATTTTTTATTGAATTGATTTACTGAAATATCATGGAGTTACAAATTCTACAGAATTATCACATTCTTATGACGTTATTTCCAGATAACCGCTGCAGAATTGAGTAGAGGGGTGGATGATGGTGGTAGTGAGAGGACAGTTTCCCTGACTAATGATAAATATGAAACTGAAGTAAATGAAAGAGTGGGAATTCCCAGTGACTTGACAGAGAGCTCGATAAGTCAATCATCGACAGATTCTTTGAGAAGAAGAACTGATAACAGCCGATTCGATAGCAATGACGAGGAGAGGATCTGTGAATCATCGGTGAGGGGGAATGTAAATAGGGGGGAGGAATCAGCTGACAGACTGAATCAGCTGTGGTCAGAGGGGGCAGAGGGTGGTGCAGAATATGTTGGGGAAGAGATGGAGATGGAGATGGACGAAGAGGAGAAGGGAAATTTACCAACTCTCTCGCAGGAGTTGTTGAAACTTAGTAAATACGGATGGTACTGGGGACCTATCTCTGGAGATGAAGCTGACGCCAAATTGCAAGCTGAACCCGATGGGGCTTTTTTGATAAGAGATTCCTCGGACGACAGGTGAGAGTCAGGGATTTAATTGTGAAACTATTCTGTCCGATTATTCATTGAAATTTTTTATTGATAGACATCTTCTCACGTTGAGCTTCAAATCAGCTGGGAAATTGCTTCATGCTCGTGTAGAACACAGTGGTGGCATGTTCTCATTCTGCAATCAAGGGGATAGTGGACGTTTCACGTCTGTACCAGCTTTAATCGATCATTCAATGAATTACAGTCGATCTGCTGTCTTCTGCTACTCGAGGCCTCGTTATCCTGGCCATCCTGCTTTTCCCGTACGTTTAACGAAGCCTGTAAGTCGCTTCAGGCATGTCCGAAGCCTACAATATCTCTGTAGATTCGTCATCAGACAAAATACTCGTCTTGATAATATAAACAAACTTCCTTTACCAAACACCATCAAGGGATACATCGAGGAGGCACATTATTGAACCTCTTATGAATCTATAGACTGTTTTACAATATATTATATTGTTATTATTAATATTCGCTATTGAATATTGCTGAGCGAAATTATTTAGAAATCGTTGATGAACAATCGTTTGGAGATCTGAGGTGTTCGATAAGATTATGAAAATAATTGCAATTTTTTTATTTCCACGAAATAGAAGATTGTATTTCAATTCTTTTTTTTTTATTACATCACTGATTATTATTCCGGATTTTCTATTAAATATATTTTTCGGTTGATCAGTGTGAAATTTTTCAAATCACACTCAGAGTATCTCCCAAGAATTAAAGAGTTAATTAATGTACATAAAATGAAATTATTTTCAGAATTCGTCGCTAGATCTCTGGTATCAGCGAAAATTTGAAAAATGAATATATTTTAGTAGATTTTAAGACACTGGTAACTAGTTGGTGCAGCAATGATTGAATTGAAAAGACATGAAGTCAAGACGCACTCGTAATTGACTCAATATTTATCACTGGAAGGTTTACAATTTACATTAAATTCAAGAATGAAATGCCAAAACGAATGTGACACAATTGTATTGTGTTTTCTCTCAATCTTCAGCCACTCAAATTTCTCGCATTTCCATCGAAAGAAAAAAATCCCCCGATGAATCGTTACACTCAATATTTCGACAATAATTTGGGGTACGCAATGGATTCTCTGGGAAGAATGACTAGCTTTAATTGAAAATATTGTTTATTTTCCCAGAAAAAAAATTGATAACTCCAATTTTTTATTTTCAATTATAAATAACTACGTAGTTATATAAATACTGCGATGCATTTGGTATATTTTCACCTATTCCAATTCATCCCGAGTATATTTCGTGCCTAAAATTAAAGAGATCAATGATAAATGTTAGAGAATTGAGTTTAATTACTTGTAACTGGAATAATTACTGTTGTAAAAGCAGCAGTGGCAGCCTCTGTTGCTCGATTGAGGGCCTGATCAGGTGGCGGTAGGTCTACAGTGAGAACTCTATTCAACTGGACTGCATCTTCAATTCTTCTCCCCAAAAATTCCCACGTTCTTGTGTGATCCTCGCTTTTATCTTGTAACATATACAATTCACTCGTTTTGTATATTCCAGCGACAGCTACTCGTCTGGTGTACCAGTGGAACTGTAAAATTAAAACAAATCGAGAGATAATAAAACTGAAAGGGAATTTATTCGACTCCTCTTGTCATTTTGTACGATTTTTTTGAAAAAAAAATATGAATTCAATCCTGAAACGATTGAGATGGAAATTTTTTCTGAGGAGAGCCATAAAAATATTTACATTCATCTCAACAGTCAATTTAGATGAAAATCTCTTTCTTTTTCTCAAGGCAAACATGAATTAATCATTTCAATATTTAAATGCAATTTTCTCATAAAATAAAATGAAAATCTTACATCAACGGATCTATCTCCAGCGTAATAACAAATATCATCGACGAGAGTTAGTAAATTAGCGAGAGCTGGTGGAACATTCGGGGGTAGAGCAAGAAGTCCAATTGCCTGAGGCCAGGTCGACTTGTATGGCACCAACATCCTGAGCCTCCTCTCCAACGCCTTCTTCACGAACTCCTCTGGCAATTTAATTGGCTGCGAGGGCTCGCCCTCGGTTGTCAACGCTTCAGATTTCATGATTTCATTCAATTCCGCATTGCAATTCGCGTAGAAGTGGAGCACCAGCTCTGCACCTCCTCTGGGGAAGAGGCCGTGGATAACACCAGGATATCCAATGGATTCAGCTCCTAAATCCATGTATTTTTATTGGAAATTTTCAATTGGGGCGAAATAATTTTGTAGATCTGATGATAAAATTACCTGCGCTGATGGCCTCCTGGCTCCATCCGTGCTCCTTGACAAATGGCATTGCGGCTGCCAAAATCTGTTTTTTAATCATGCCCTCGTACTCTTCCTCGGATTCCTTTGATTCCTCAGTTGTCGAAATTTCTGCCACAGCATTTTGTGCTTTCTGCTCGTTTGAATTGATCCTAGAAGTCCACAAACCTCTCACACCTGAAGAAGTTCATGATCATCACCTCATATTTAATTTTATTTAATTACTACGCAAGGTATGAAAAAATGTGAATACCCAAAAAAATTGATTAAAAAATAAAAACTTTATTCCATTGTAAAAAAGCTTCAACTGATTATCGTGAGCTTCTTCATAGGATTGGTGTCGATGCATTCATTGACCCTGACGACGATGCTCTCGATGACATCTAGGGCATTGATAGCCTGATAACAAAATTTAATTTTTTCCCTAACGGGCATATCAGGTAGTTCCTGGCCTCCGACGACAACCGACACTTGAGTCTCAATTCTTCTCCGTTTTCCGTTCTCTTCCTGGAGATCTCTGAGCTTGACCTTCCAGTGGGCCCTGGCGAGATCCACCCCATCCCTGAGTTCCTTCAAATACCCCTGAATGCTCTTCAACACCTTCCAAATTCCTGTGGAATTATTCGTGTCCCTGATCACGAGAAATCTAAGAAGATTCAAAGCCGCGATTATTTCATCAGACATCTCCACGAGGTCAGAGACACTGCCGTGGGGCAGCCTGAATATTCTCTTAAATATGGGCTCCAGCTTCCTGAGGAACTCCTTGTCTCCTCGATCCAGGGAAATGATAATCGAGGACTTGAAAATGTTTATGATAAGGGCGAGAAGTCCAGAGTGCTTTGTCCTGTCGTACAGCATCCATAGGACTCTGTACCTTCCAGCCATGGAGAACCGCCTGATGTACCCCTGGAAGACCCCCAGAGCCAATTGCCTCTCCCTCGAGGAATCGCAGTAGATCATCACCTGGGAAATACTGGAAAACAAATCCCCGTGGATCGCCAGTTGCAGGGCTTCCGGCTGAATTGATTCTTCGGGGACTCTATTCAGGATTCCCTCGAGGAATCTCAGGCCCCTGGTCACCAGGACGTACTCCGGCTGCTTCAGAAGATGATTCCCCAAGTATATGCAGCAGTTCATGATATAGAGAGGATGATAAACCTGCGGCAATTGTTGGCACGACTCCAAAGACATCATCAGGGTGAAGAAAAAATTGGCGTATGTCAGGTCAGAGACTTCCATGTCGAAGAGCTGGACCTGCAGGTTGTAGAGATCGATCTTTGGCTCTGGGTCGAGCTTATTAATCCTTTTGTGGATTCTGTTCTCAATTATTTCGAAGAATTTAATGGGATTGGTTTCCAGTCTCAATATCTGAGAAGTCATCACTCGGAAAACTGAGGACGAGTCCTCGGGGTTGATGTCCAGGTGAGAGAAGGGTTTTGAGAATAGATTCAGGTGGATGTTGATCAGATTCATGAGGACTTTGACCTCCCGAGGATCTGAATTTACCCTATCGAGGGCAATTTCAATGAGTGGAGAGAGAAAATCGAGGATTGATCGCAGAGTCGTCGTCAGGCGATCGATCACAGGATCTTCTTCATCCCCTGGGCTGACTGCTTCAGGATTCGTGTTCTCAGGGAGGGGTAGGTCTTCAGCATAAGCTCTGATGGTGCTGACAACCCATTCAATAGACTTGGACATGTCTCCTCTCTTCAGGGATATCTCCAGGGGCTTCAAAAGGGCGCAGAATCTCACGTCATCCGGAAGGCTCTCAGCCTGCTCCAGGAACAGGAGAACCGTCTCCGAAGGATTGCATCTGTCTGCAAATATCTGCAGCAGCTCCTCGCAGGTGAGAAAGAACGAATTCCTCGTTTTTTTATTTTCATCCGTCAAGTGAGTGCAAATCATCGGTACCAGGGACCACGAACTCCTGTCCAGGATCTCATCGGTTCCATCCGTTTTAAATAATATCGAGAGCTTCGCCGTTTCATAACTGGTGAGTAGATCTTTTACTTTATTGGAAAAATCCTCAGAAGGATCTGATAGTCGTGAATTTTCAGTCGACATTTCCGAAATTTCAATTGATTGCGATTTCTTTCGTAATCAGGTGTTATTTCAAGGTTAGAAGAGGCTGACGTCCACCAAATCAGAATACCCGTCCCATTTCCCTCACAATCTCACAATATTAATAATTAAAACTGTCTCAGGGGCTTCAATTGTTGTCCAGAAAATCGCCAAGACTTATTCCAGTATTACGACGAAAATTATTAATCAAGTACTGATTTTTGGGGGCTGTTTGTTGTTTGAAAACAGCTCGGTTACCGGTGGAGTTGACTTGTCACTCGTTCAGGAGTGATTTAGAGATTTTTAACATATTTTATGAGAAATGTGGAATGATAGAAGGTGCAATTGGTGTGGGAGGTGACACGTGGGGAACATTGAAGAGGTGATTAGGGTGATTTTTTTTTGTTCTGTTACCTGTGATTGTGAGACCCTTCCTCAGGGCGAGGATCGTTGCCACAGCCATGTCAAACCTCTGATTACCCAGGTCCAAGCAATACTGCACTTTGGATTGCGCAAGAAACGATATTTACTCTTTCCTCACACGATAAACCGAGCTGTTAGTAATACAGCGATCTGTCATTATGTAAGTACCCAATTATGACAGTACAAATTTCATTTTTTGTTACAATTTCTCTCACTAATCATTTTACTCTGAAATTTTTTAATCACAATCGATCGACCAGTCAATCATAAATCACTCATAATCTACTATATGATCAATATTACTATTAATATTCATAAATATGTTGTAATTAAACATTGGTATATTATTTTTATTATTATATATTTATATTGTGATATTTATTTTGGTGGGTACGTTTTTTAGAGTGTCAGGTTATTTTGGCGCCTTTTTTTGCGCGCAAAATGGCGATTTTCGCGGTAATAAATTATTTTATTCACTATTCACTAGAAAATCGTCAATAGAACACGAAAACTTCTGATTTGATAGTCAATTATTTGAATTTTAATAGGCAATGATGATGTGAGGGACATTGTGTGAGCATTTTCTCGGAATTTCAGATTCTTTTGAATTTATCCGCCGTTGGTATCGACAGGCACTCCCCAGCTATTTTTCTCTCTTTTCAATTCATCAAATCCCCATAACTCTCTCTCTCTTTTATTAGTTGTTCGATGAAATAGTATACGTAGATGTCGTTGTTATGAAAAAAAAAAACATTCCGTGAAGCCTAAACAGTTCTGAATGGATTGCAGGTCTTTGTGGGATTTGTAACTGCCGAATTATCCCATTTTCAGTGTTTTTGGCTGGTGTATTTTAATCTGAAGTCGAAAATAGTGGAATACTTGAGGCATGAATCGAAAAAATCCAGCCCACAAAGATTGGGCCAAGGCTATTTGCAGTATTGTTAGCCAATACCCCATGCTTTACGATAAAAGACACAGTGATTACAAGAACAAGATGAAGAAATTAGAAATTTGGAAGGGGATCTCCAATTATGTGGCAGCTGAGTTGCAAGTCAACATGACAGGTCAGTCAAATCCTGACTTTTTCATTTTTATTTTCATCTGTATTTTTTTTTTTATAAAATTCACGGAAGGAATCCGGTGGTTAAATTCATGAGAAAAATCCCGGGACGCTGTTTCTCTCGTATTTCATATTACAATTTTTTTTTAACAGCTGCTGAACTCGAGAAGAGATGGCTAGGCTGGAAATGCACGTTCATTTCAGAACACAGAAGACTCCACACACATCCCGTAGACACAAACGTGAAAAACTGGTATTTATTCAACTCCATGAGATTCATGGAACCGTACATATCACATCATCGGTAATTCCCCTGTTCCCTCAGTTTAATCACTAGAAATACTTCAATCTGACTTTAATTTATTGCACCAGAAAAACATTCACGACGAAAGAATCATTCAAGGCTGAGTATCCTGAGAGCCCCGAGAAAAATTCGGGTACGAGACCGACAAGAATAATTGGCAATTTTCTCGATCAATCATCCCAGTCACATCCATTCGCCTGCCCAATGGTGAGAAACAATGATATATTATTTCACTATTTTGTTAAAATCATTGGAATGATTTGTTGAATTTTATTCTGTAAAGTTTATTCATGAATGATTAATCGGTGGAATTGAATTTTTACCGGTGAAATTTGAACTCAAATGTGATATCGAATGTTATAGGAGCCTTTGTACTTATCTCAAGAGGCAGCTGAGAAATCTGAGCTGGCTGACTCAACCAGTGCACTTGCCATATCTGAAGTTGTTGGTAACTACAACGATAATGCCCTCAAGGTTGCCCTGACTCGCACTGGTAAATTTAATCTAAATAATTTATAAATAAATTTCGTTTATAAATGTACAACACAATTAATTTGTTAGCAGCCGAAGCCCATGGACAAATGGCCCACAAACCCGTGTTTCCTGACTCATCCGGAGCCGCGACAGCGACATCCCCAGTGATAAATCCATTCGTTAAAGATGAAAAAAAGGAGAAGTGTAAGTGCATTATCGAAGAGAGACTCGAATTTATTCCTATCGAACGCAGGACAGTCTGTCTCATTGAGATATTTCAAGTTATTCAAAAATACGAAAACATGTCGTAATTATTCTATCGAATCATTTCAATTCAATTTTTCTGGTGTCAGATATTCAACGGAATTCAATTCTACAAAGATCCATTGAAATTACTAGATGGTCATTATTTGGATGAATTATATTTTTAATTTTATTTCAAAGAACTCAAGACAAAAAGATTTGAACGTAAATCCATAGAATAAAACGACAATTATCCGGATCTTCCCAGGAAATGACGGAATTTTCTCTTCAATTCCGTCACGTACCTAGAGTATTATTCTTTACGTTAAATTTTTAATTCCCGTTGGAAATCAGTAGTCTAATCAGTTGCTTTCCGAATCACACGATTTGGTTTTCAACTTGAATTTTTTATAAATCCGACAGAACAAACGCGTTTATATTATCATTAAGTTTTTTATTAAAGAAGAAAGAAAAAAGATAAAAAAAAGGTAGTCATATGTTACATGTATAAATATTGCGAAATGTATCACTTATGTCAGTCAATTAATTGAATAATTAAATCATTTAAAATAGTTGAGCACAAATAGTCAATTAACTGATTAAAATCCGATAGCCATACAAAAAATAATTAACTGGAAGATGTCAGGAGAACATTATGAATTTGATAAATTCATTAATGAGAATTGTCTTTTTCGGGTGTAGAACGGAATTAATTAAAAATTGAAATATTTTCATAACGAGTTGTCTCTCTGTCGAGGGGTAAAAAGGCTTCTCGAAAATTTCTACAGCTCGATTGAACTGAAACACACACAGCTATTCTGAATATCTCTTTAGCCTTTTCTCCCATCGTCAGCCATTTAACGTAAGCTTCTGTCACAGTTCTCGTCGTGATTCTCGTGTTGAAAACATTGAGAAACGTGAGATTAGTATTCCTGATTAATTTTACAACACCAGGGTCTTGAATTCTCTCGCAATGACTGCAATTTAATTCTCTCAATCTATACAAATTCATTAAAGATCTGTCAGTGATTTTTCTACTAGCTTGAATGGACAAACTCTCCAAATTCCTCAGTTCCTCGAGATGGAGGGCACTAGAATCAGTCAGGAATGTTGAATCTGAAGGATTAAATAGGAAATTAAATAGAGAAATTACGCACAATGATAATTCTGTAATGGGAAATTTATAGACTCAATACTCACGACTTAAATCTAAATGTCGAATTTTTCTGCAGTTGTCTATCAATTTTCGGAGCCAATTATCGTCAATGATGCTATGAGTTACTTGAAGTGCTTCTAAATTAATCAGTCGTGTAATTAGCTCGAGATTTTCAGAGTCTATTTTGCAATAAAACAGGGACAAATGGGTGAGAGACTTTTGATTCGCTACTATGGATTTCAGTAAATTACTTTCTGACGAGAAACGTTTCAAAGACAAATAATTGAGTTTCATGAACCTCTCGAGATTCTGCAAACAAATAATAATCAGTTAACAATTTGCATTCGAATGGATTATTTTTTAATGCTCATTGATTTGAATCGGTTAATCTATTCGAATATTTATTCAAATTCAAAAGGTCAGGGATCTTACCAAGTCAAATTTACGGAGAAAGTATTTTTTATTACAACGGGACGTCCTGCACTCGATATTTCCAACGTCGATTGTTAATTTATTTAAATTTGGACAGACATTCACTGCTTTTGATAGAACATCGGGATCACATGGTGTTGCTACTTTTAATTCTTTCAAGAAGTGCCCGCAGCGTTTGACAATTTTTTTTATCAAATTCGGATTCTTCTGCACTTCGTTAATTGTTTTAGAGTCCATTTTGCCGTTGGAAAATCGGAGAAAGGGCAGGTGTTTTAGGTCGTGCCAAGATGTTTCGGCGATATTTTTCCATCGCTTGCACACTGCAATGAAATCACGATCGAAATTTTGGAATCCATTAGCCATTCGATTTTATTCCTCACCTTTTTCGATCTCGAGTCTCTGATAAATTGGAAGCCTTCGGAAAATCTCTCTCAAACAATCGTCAGGGAGAGAATTGATCGTATCAATCTCCTCTGCCTCCACAGAGCTCTTTTCAAAATAAAAACTCCCGTGTTGTAATTCCATTTCGAAATTGGACTTTGAAATTTGAACACTTGGATTATGCAAGTACCCGAAAAGTTAATTAACCCGATGAAGTGCCTGCGAGTGACTAGACTCAAATAAAATAAATCGAGTAGTCGCGTCTATTTATATTCTGACTCGAGGCATCGCGGTAATTCTCATTAACTGGTGCTTTCAAGGTATTTACACGATTATTTCCCCAGCAAATTAAATGGGAGGCATATGCTATTTTGATTGTGAGTGTGCATGGAGAAAGGAAGGGGAATTATCAGTGTTTACCTTGAAGAAAAAGTAGTACTTACCTGACCACTTTAAAACGTGTGATGAAATGTAGCGTTTCGTATTAAAATTTTAATCGAATTGGAGTTTTTCAACAATTTTCTCCTGGGTTGTCTGTGGAAAGGTGGGCACTCGGAAAACCTCATAAAAGTATCATTAAAAAAATTCAATCATCCAATCAATTTCCCATAGCGTCTCCTGCGGCTATTTTATTGTAAATTAATTATTAAAATTAGAGAACAATTATAAAACAACAATTCTCTTTATTTAAAACAACGTACAATCACGCATTTATCGCTTAGAATTCCATTTAAAAACAACAATTTGAACGAGGAATTGGTGAACATTTTATCCAGTTATAATTAGTCTCAATTTAAATACTGCCAATCGCGTTTATTAAATTTTAATTTAATTGGACAGTATCAGCATCCTGAGGGTAAATGTTTTCACCATAATCCTTCATTCATTTATTTTCTCTCGTTCTTACATTAACGAAAAATAATTCAGTAAAAATTACGAGAACGTTAGGATTTTTCACTTTTCATAATTTTTACTGAACAATTAGTGAAATGACTATTTACAGTAAAGCCGTACATAATAATATGAAAAATACACATACACGGTGAAGCGTTCAGCTTCATTCGTACATTTACTCGTGTTGATTATTTGATTCAATACTTCATGTTTTTTTTTTTATTCGGGAGGGCACAAGATTTTTGATAATTTCTTTTCAAATTACCGCGACTCCTCGAATATCTCGAATGATTTTCTATTGCTCTCGTTATATTTAGGTAATTGGACAGTTTCGTTAAAGTTTTTATCGTTTATCTTTCGATATTTTGTGATTTTTATACAGTTCTATGATTACAGAAAAGAGAGGAAGAGATAAGATATTTTCAGAGTAAAAAATTACGTGCTCTGATTAATTTATGAGCGATTGATCAATTTCTGTTGTTTCGTTGTCCTCAAATTTCTGTTTTAATCCTACATTTCATTTTCGTACCGTGAATTCTGAACAATATGATTTGAGTGATCAATAGGTCCAGTACCAAATACTTGTGTCGTGAAAAAATGGAAATTTTTACAGGTGAAAGTTAATTTTCAACTAAATAAATCGATAGAAAACGGTAAAGGCCAAGTCGATTCAGTGAATACGTCATTCAATGTGAAATATCTCCGAATCTGAGGCAGATATCAAAATTTCTATAAAAACATTTTTCGCGGGTCTCACTCCGTCCTGCAAAAAAGGTCCCATAAAAAATCTGGCTATCTCTCTCAGATTCGGAGATATTCGTTGAAAATTCAACAAGGAAACAAACCGACTTATTATTCATCGCCCCTGAAATCAATTTCGTTACAACAAAAGGCAATTGATAATGCAAGAAATTTTTTCTCGCTGTGAATAAGTGTGTACTCATGAGAGAGGACAATAATTTGATTTCTGCATCGTCTGTAGACCTAGATTAAATCCGTCCTTTATCTTTAACAGTAACAACAATAACAACAGTTTCTCATTATCACCTTCATTAACAATATATTCAAAATTCCTCACTGTAGGGCTTTTTCAGTAATGATGGACCATTAAATACTTGAACTATTCAATCAGACATTCACCCCATCATTACTGCCTTATCTTATCAATTTAGATATATAGCGAAGCGTATCTTACATACAGCCATCGGAGACGATTATCTCCCTCTTTTCTCTAAGCAAATTATTTTCATTTTCTGTCTCGTTTTGTCGTCACTAAATACTTGAAAAATTCAGGGGTACAAATACATAATAATGGTATGCACTGGCAGCTGATAAGCTTTGATTACAGCGTAAATCAATAACTCGATACAGAATGAACATTCAATTTACCATAAAAATTCAATAGCGAAACGGCGGAATATCTTGGAATCCAGAGCCGATATCAAAATTTTTGTGGGAACCTTTTTGATAGAGCCCATTGAGAGCTAGAAAAAAGGTTATAACGAAAATTTCGCTGCCTACTTGAGATCCGGAGATATGTGGAAAAATTATGTTGACTCAATCATTTCGCTAGTGAATTGTCGATTTATTTGTGTTTTATTTGAGCACGTGTTTAATGGATTATACTTCATTTGCCTCGTCTTCTTTAGAATATAGTATATATTTTTTTATTCGATATTTATGAAATTTCAATATATATCTATCACCGCATATATTTTAAAACATGTATCCAATGCAGTTAGACTAGACTTTAATCAACATATATTTTGAATATTCAGTTAATCGTGGTACATAAAGATTTCTCCATTCATGAATTAGGGGCCAGAGAAAGGCCCCGATTTTTCCGACAAGTGCTCAGACACGGGTCAAATCACCTGTGCATGATTAAAATTGTTCATTTGGCGATAGCCACCCGTAAAATTTTTTTGAAAATTTCTCTGGACTCGATTTAAAGGACTGATATTGAATACGAAAGGACAAGTGACTGACTAATTTCAATATTCGGAAATGTCATCGAGATTTTATAAACTCATTCTCGATTTCGCTATCCGAATTCTTTTATTATTTCTCACCTGTTTTTTACTGAAAATAAATTATTGTAAAAATAGTTCGGCCATCCCCATGACACTTTAACCTCCGATAGAACGAAAAATACAATAAATAAAAAATAGTTTTTGTAATTACCAGACGAATGCGAAAATTACTCGAACCTCAGGCACTGAATTTTAATCAAAAATATTGGGCGGAGCTATTTCTCCTCAATTCCAATGTATTCTCATCCTATATTCACGCTTCAATAGCAACTCGATTCTCCCATCGCTAATTCCAGCGAATGCACTCAAAAAATTTCCCTCCAATTTGGCCCGACGATTTCACGGAATTCAGAGTGGAAGATGTATTTTTTTTTCTCGTGTAGAATTCTTTGAAATAGCACACGAACAATTCTCGAAGGCATTTAACACACTCAAAGCCTCACACATATAATTCACATCCGGCAATTCCCTTTCATCACAGAACTGTTTCGATCTCTGCGATTTCGGTTCGAGTGGAGTCATCCTCCGGAAGTCTGGAGATAACAATTACCCCATAAATCGATTCGAATAAATATCTGCGTAAAAATGCCCCAATAATTACCTGTAAATTTCTGTTGGCAAAAATCCTTCGGCAAATTCAGTGCTGACTACCATTGCTCGGGTCATATCCCTGGGTCGGGACACCTCAACAGCATCCAAATATCTAAAATATCGTAAGAGAGAAGATAAAATATTATCGATTAACAACAAACGACAATTCAATTCTATAACATTGACATCTCATGCCCATCACCAAGAAATAGTACGTGCAAATGATTATGAGCTATTCGTCTACATGAACTGGAGCATTAACAGCTCAAGACTTACGAATCGAAATACGGTGGAAGGGGATGAGGTGCTTCAACAGCCAATCGTTCGATGTGAGGTGGTATTGATGGCTGCAAACAGCCTCGCCACCAGGCCAATTTATCCGGCTTTCTCCTTTAAAAAATTCCGTTCTCGGAATATCTCTTGTTTCTTCCATACTCACGAACTCCACTCTCACTCAATCTCAATTGTCTCAACAGTCTCAATAAATAATCAAGTACATGTCGAAATTTATCGATGAAATATCTGATTTCTGATTAAATTCAATCGACAACACAGAAATTAAAGAATGAGATAAATGTTTTGTGCGTTATAAATTGAATAATTTTAATTTAAATTCAGGATTTGGTGAGCTTATGCCATAGGTGCAAATCAAAGTTTCTTACACTTATAGAGCCATTGAATAACTGTAATTAAGACGGTACTAATTGAGGATATTGAAGTGACATAAAAAAAAGTAGAAAAGTGCATGTAAAAATTCCAAAAACGTCATATTCCACGCCAAGAAAATTAATTTAAGCGTTAAATCACAAGTTTGTGAGAGGATTAACTCTCATTTCCTTGAAATATCCTTAAAACTCCTCAAGTCTTTCAATAACTCTGCACTGCACATCATGCTGAAGTATTATAATAGACCAGAGTATATATAATAGAAACACAATTCAAGAAATCTTAAAATAGGTCAAACCCGTTGAACTATGAGTGGAGGGGGTTTTATTCCATGTACAAACGAACGCGATTCGCCAAGGGCTTTGGTATTAAAACCAGGAGATGCCGGTTGGAATGTACCATTTACGTGAGTTTAGGGGAATGCAAATCGCCGGTTTGAATTCATTTCAGTTGATGTGTACGTATTTTTGATTGAATGCGTATATTTACCTGGGTTGACTGGGTTTGATTCCATGCGCCTCAAGATCTTTCTCCAGCTGTCGTATCCTTATCCTCGCCATATCCAATTCGTGTTTAACTTTCCACAAGTGTGTATCGCATATTGGATCGTGACACCTGTGCTGGCGAATAATATCCTGCGCCTCGAATACAGCACCGCGAAAAGTCAGCGATTTTCCCATACTCTAATTGTAAAATTTCCAAGATTCCATCAAAATTTCATCAATTGTCTCAACAGCTGATGCTCACCAAACTGATTAATGCACAGCATCCGCCACGATCGCTTCTGGCTAGATGGTGCCTGATGTATTTGAAATACAGATGCTCCAGAAAGAGAAGCAGAGCTGCCAGAAGTATTCCCGCCATCAGCAGTAGAAATGCACTGAGAAATTGCTCTAGAGCCAGTGGATCACTGCTCTTTTGCACTTCCTTTCCGGGTTTGCAGGTGCCAGTCATCCAGTATCTCCTCAATCTCTCCAAATCCCCTGATGTTCAAATAACAATGAAAACCTCACAATCATTTATCGATCATCAACAACACTCTCACCGTTCTCTCGATAATGAAGCAAACGTTCATTAAACATCTCGACGTATTTGGAATTTCTGGAGAAGGCAAGACCATAACCCGTCATTGCGTACCACGAACCGACTGTTAACAATCGGCAATCCTCGTCTTGAGTTACAAGATAATCCAATACTGTTCCATCGTAGAAGAATGCATCGAGATCTCTTAAAAAAAAATGATAATCAATCAGCATCACCATGGATAATCCTTCGGACCGTGATTTATCGTTGCATCACTGATGGTAATTAAGTGTAAGAGATATAATTGATGAGAAAATCTATAGATTTTCACCCACCCACTGATAACAGCATCGATGCCCTCCAATACATTGGTCTTGTTGAATGGCTCCATGTAGTGATGCATCTCCTTGAAGTATCTGGCTAGTGTACTGTCTGTGTGACTCCAAGGTGTTGTACCAAATTTGAACATGGGCTTGTGGGTCCAGGGTTTTGCCAATCGTGGATCATCAAGACCACTGAACTCGTGGAACTCCTCTCTCGTTATCATGAAGGCCGCCAAGTTGGCAGTGTATATGGCGAGGAACACGACAGCGAACATGGCCCAAACGTTCGTCATGAATCTATCGTTAATAAGTTATTTAATGATTCATCAATCCATAAGACATTTAAAATGTAAAAAGACTCATTAAAATAGCAATGAAGAGTTCTAAAAATAATCTCGTGTTGATAAATCATAATAAATGATGAACGAAACACGAATTCAAGTAGAAATTCGACAACTCAGCTAATGAATCATGAATGGTTAACTGAGGACATTGAGTTGGAGGTTGTATTTGTGAAAAATCATTTATCCCAAAGCAGGATTGAGCGCATTCATCCTCCTGATGGATCGGGATTAATTACAAGCTGTCGTATCTCGGATTCACATTACGATAGAATTCGTACCAAATGGTTTTAATTACTCGTATGCTGTAATGGGTAGACAGTATTCACGTATAGAGTTGCGCATTAACTTGAACATGTGTGATCGACCCGTAAACCCGGTTCTGGGTCAACTCAAGATACCGATGCGTTATCTGAATTTATTTACCTCGCAGTGAATGCACGCGGTGAGTCAATATGTACAGCAGCTTGAAACAGAACTGCCCAGACAAGCCAGTACGTTCTTGACAGGGAGAAACGATGATTTGGAGATGGATTTGCCTGGAATTAAACATAACAGATTCACAGCGCTCGACGTAATCGCTATTAAATTGAAATTGTGTTCAATTAAATTGAATTAATAAAATACGTAAAATGGTACGCGAGGGAAAAATGGAAAAATCGGGAATATAAAATTACTTTCATGTTGAAGCCAGAAGGTGACAGCCACTCGAATAAAAAAATCATGAATGTGGCAGCATGAATGCCCACGATGCCCACTAACATCCAGGAAGCCGTGTCGAAGGGCTCTGCAAATAAAAATCATTCGTCATAAATTTTGATCACTGAAGAAAAATCGGAAAGCAGGTACTCACCCAAAAATGCTGTTGGTGATATTATGCCGGTTCGTTTGGCAACGACAATGGCTATTCCAGTCTCCATGTAAGGCACAGTAAAATCAACTACTGCTTCTCTGTCAGAATTTATCATGAGGGACGTGAGTACCATGTCGGTTTTACGGTTCACCAGATCGGCTATGAGACCGTTCCATTTTCCATTCTGACAATCATAATGAAAAAAATATGGGGAATTATGGCGAGCGCTCTAAATGCGGAGAGATAAATTCGAGAGAAAATTACGTGCCTCTTCCGGGATCGCCCAGTTAAAACACTCAGAACAGAACGTAAATGTTACATAATTACTGAATATTTTTTTGACTGGAAGATTACAGAACAATCACGGAATTTTTCATTAAATATTTCTGTGCACAGCGTAAAAATATTATATATTATATATTATATTATAGAATTTATACTGAATTTATACATTAAAGCTGGAGATCATCCAAAAATTCACCATCAGTTGTGGAATTTAATGAATCATTTAGAAAATTGGATTGTTAATGAAATAGTGAGGGGATAATACCTCGAGTGTTCCCCATTTTCCATCCTCGACTCTTACGAGCTCATACGTAAATCCAATGGTCTCGGAGAATCTTTGGAGAAGATCAATGCAGAATCCACTGCAGCACTGGTAAAAGCTTTCATTCCGTTGGGCTGATTGGATATCCATTCTGAAATAAAATGACAAAATAAAACCAAACCGATGAGTAAAATCGATTTCCCTCTGAAGCACATCACAATTACGATCGATACCTGGAGAGTAATCGAAATGCTCGAAGTGCAGAGTGTGTAGAACATTTTAATTTATCGTCGCAACTATTTTCCAACGTTTTGTTTTAAATAATTGACGGTAATTATTCGTCGAAACTTTCGTTGATTTAATTTACACCGGGTCTTATGAACTTTGCCGTGGGTTGAAAATTCATAGGGAAAATGGGGATGTGATTTAAACTTGCGAAAGCACTGACGATAAATTACCTAGTGCATTCAACGTCCAACACGTATGCCGTTATTACCGTCGCAGAAACGTGGGGGAAGATTTCCGTGGAAAAAAAAATTAATTGCTGCCTCAGGAGGAAAGCTATTTGAATTTTGATTATTGTCGAGGCATTTGCTGTTATTTAGATTGAAATATATGAGGGGAGTAATTGAATCTTTATCGGTAATTATTCATTGCAGTTTTTAATTATCGAAAACGTCAGGAATTTTATGAGGCGGAGGAAATGCTTTTTATTTTTCGAGTGAAACTGGGGAAATTCAATTCCCGATATCGGCTAAACTTTATGAATTTCTATTTCACAAACTCATCTCTCACCCCATGAACTTTGATAATATCAGAAATAGTGGAGACTATTTTCCATTAAAAAATTTTTCTCGAGAGATGAACGAGCGGTCAATGCCAATCATCTCCCCGATGCGACGAGAATTCCGGAATAAATCCCGAGTAATTGGAATAATTTTCCAGGATAATTAGTTTTCCAATCGGGATGAATTTAACGGTAATGAGAGATATTCAATTGGTATCAATTTAAATTCATTCAACACTCGTCACTCAATACCCTCGAAGAATTACAGAGAGAAAAACTTGTTAAAATCCCTCTGGCCTGCCATTTCCTTTATTTTCACCCCCTCGAATTTGAGATTAATCCGATCTGAAGGGTCGCCATAATTTATTATTAAATTTCATTATATTTATTAAAGTTATCAGAATTTTCCTTTCACTGACAATTCCGCAGTGATAATAATCGGAATAACTCATCGCTTCAACTTATCATCAATTTCACGTCAATAAAACATGAGACACCGGAAAGCGAAATTGGAAAAATTTCATTATCTCGGATGACTCGTACTTTTTCCCCCGCGTTAATGTCTCGGAAAAACCCTCCCACCACCTCCCTCACCCCGAAAAAATTACGAGAGAAAAAAGTCGTTACAACCGAGAGTTTATTGCCGAAAGAGATGAATTGAAATCGGTTTACAGGAAAGATAAAGTGGAGTATATTTGACCATTTGGATAAATGAATTTCCAATTTCCCAGCACGAGATTCATTTCCACCAATATCAATTCAACGGTTCGAGGCAGATTGAATTCAATAGTTAAGGGCTGAGTGAAGATTATAGCAGAAACCACGATATTTCCCAATTGGATGAACTCTCGTCTGTCGATAGTCTCGTCCCAGTGGTACAGATTTGGTTAACTCAAACGATTCACTCCATTTGCGGAAAGAGATAAAAATAATAGCCCACCGATTTCCGCTGAACGATTGCAACAGATGATTAACCGATTGCCTGATTAAACAATTGATCAACCGAAGACGCAGCATCAAAGGTAAATTTATTTGTCAAGAGAAAGATTTCTCTTGACAAATAAATTTACCTGTAATCGTTCGTCTTTATATTTTTTTATCCAAGTTATATATTTTTTATCGGGATAATAAACAAATGTGTAAAAAAATTAACAGTAGAGTTTCTCCTGTGATTTTCAATCAACGTAATCCGCTTTGAGAGCCCTACGGTGCTAACTACTTTAACGACGTCACTGGTACCTCTTTTTTTTACTGGTATTTGGTGCAAGTATACTTGATGGGTACGTCATAAACTCCGACTAACAGCCATTCAAGCTCTTTCATCAGAGCTTTATTATTATCTCGAATGAGAGAGTGGAGATAACCCTGTGGCCCGGCATTGGACTAAATCCCCGGCAATTCAACAAACTCAGACACTACCTGGTACAGACACTCACCGAATGATGTGACAGTAACTTTACAAAGTTCTTGGGGATGGGGAAGGGCAAGTTGAGGTTTGCTCGGTGGTGCAAAGTACGGCTTTTCTCAGTGGGCACTCAGCCCATGGGGTATTTGCTCCTGCGGTCGACTGGAAGTGCTAGATCCCAGGGGCTAGTTCCAACTGTCTTCCCCATTTAAGTTCTATTCTTCACATTTGTGGAAATTAACGCTATAATTTCCACAGAAATTATCATTTCTGTCAGCTGACGCGCGTTTTTTTGTTTGAAGTTTTGTTTGATATTTCGTTTAATCATTTGTTTGGTTTTTATGGAGTACTTACTCGGCCATGTCCGCCTCCTTGGCAACTCGACAATGAACTCCTCGATCTATCAGACATTGTCCACTTACTGGATCTGGTGGATCCAGTTTAATGTACGGTGGTTCCTCCAGGAATGTTATCTTCAGGTGAAATTTCTCAGGAACACCTTGGGGCGGTGTGTGGGAATTCCCCGGCCAGACAATATCTTTTATGTCTAGTCCCTCCTTCTGCCACGACTTCCACACCCCGATCTTCAATAAAAAATCCATCGTTATATATTTTCTATATTTTATTCAAAATCACGATTGGATTTTATGTTGAATTTTCATGATGAGAGATCGTGTGACATGAAAGAGCAATTGTTCTCGATTTTAATTGAACCTGAATTCAAACTCATGCAATTAAAAATTTAAATGACTGACATAAGGAATTTTCAACAGTGCAACGATTTCCATCTAAAAACCTAACAAATAAAAATGAAATTAAAAAATTTCTATTGAAGAATTCAAAGGGATTCCATCAAAATATCGGCATGAATTTTCGTTTCCAAAAGAGATATTTCTGCTCTTTGTCGCCCGTATTGTGTCCGAGATAAATACAGCGTTCCCACAGATATAAACGAGAGTTATTCCCCCAAAAAAAAAGTGGCGAATGTTCGTGACAACTGAAATCCACTGAACTTTATTACACTTCTCTCCAATTTGTATTTTCATTTTTAACCCGCCAGCAAGTCGTCAGCGAAAAAAAAAAGATGCGAGTAAAATCGTTTGCGTCACGAATAGACGAGAAAAAAAAAAGCGAAGCAAAAAGGAATTCTAGTACCAATGGACATTGTACGAACATCACAGCGATATTTCGCGACGAAGCTTTTGGTATTGGCTTTCGATACTGCGGGTGGCAAAATGACCGATCAAACTTGACTGAAAATGCACAGATAAAAGTTACTATGCAACACCCAGAAGATAAACCACATCCATAAAACCAGGCATTCCCGTTAACGTTTTTCATTTACAAATCGGAGAGAACCGTCTCCTGAAGTATTTGAAATTTTTATTAATATTTCGAATAAATTTCTCAGAGCGTCTCATCAAATTTTTCAATAAACAAAATGAAAAATGACTAGTCGATATGAAGAGTGGTCGTTGCCTGGGCGTCACCACCGGAAATTGAATTTAATTCTCATCAAAAGGACATAATGGCAGGTTCAAGACGTGAATGGGGTCGAGCACTCAACATTTATCAGCATCTTCAGTGACTGAAATAACCCGTGACCTCGGTTTTGTTCTAAAATGAAAAAAAACCCCGAGGTAAACAGGCGGAGTGCAATATTCTTTTCCGTTACTACCCTTTCCTCATGAATTTCCACTCGCAATGCAACCGTTGATTTAAACAACTGTCAACTCCATTCAGGGCTCTGGATTTGATGCATCAAAAGATGTGCAAAAACTTCCATTACTGTATCAGACGTCTGCTAAATTAATAGTCGGATTGAGTGACTTCTGGCTCGTTGGGATTGACTCAAGTGAAAACAGCTCTTTAATTTTTTTTCATGAACACTCGGTTATTTTTAGACTGCAATTATTCTAATCCCTTTAATTACTCATTAAAGCGAGACACACGGGACATTATTATCCGAGACATTAAGGAACTATTGGACTCCGGTTATCGAGTTTAAAATTACATGTGTCTGGATAAACCGTCGAGACGGAAAACGGGAATTTCCTCGAGTCGATTGGATTCGGAGATTGTGGTTATTAAAAATAAAGTGTAATTCACGGGTTTTGAGATTCAGTCAGGGATTTTTTGGGGTGATAATGGAAGATAAGGGTGATTGAGGGAATTTTTATTGGTGCTCACCTCCTCCCAGACGAGTTGTTTACTCACACCAGGTCGCAAGTTCATGATTTTCAGCTCGGCTGCCTTCAAAACTCCGTCTTGAGTGAACTCGATGTTTGGCTTGCCCTGGTCCCCCTCAACCGAGACGTTCTTCAAATATCTTTATAAAAAATAAATAAAACATCATTCATCACTTGATGACTACAATAATCATCAGTCGATTGATGAAAAAAAATGAGATTTTGAAAATGAAAAGTCATTTCCCCCGAAAACTGTAAAATCTAACAAGAATTTCACGAATCATAATATTAATTATAATTTTCCAGACCTTTCTCGTTGGGTGAGGATTTTATCATCATTTAATGTTGATTCATGAACCATTTGATTTTGATAAAAAAAAATCACTCAGGTCGATTCCCTGTTATTCAAGAAAACAACCGGCGACCTCTGATAAAAAAATATAGGAGCTTGTAACACAATTCCCCAGCTAAAAGACTCACTTAAAGAATCGATCACCCGTGTTCCACCTGGACTCTCCAAGGCCCTCACAGCTGAGTGCCGTGTTGAGGCTGTGGTGTGCATTTTTCGGGTCATTCACAAAATCCTCGACCCCGTAGGCGTAAACTTTTATCGCTGTTGCGATCTCATTGACGAGACTTGTACTGCTGGTATCGAAGTGAACACCTACCGAGTCATAAACCACAAAAACAATTGAGCACCGATAAATAAATAATCGCCAGCCAGCAAAACCACCACTGCCCACATCATCACCTCCCGAAATCAATCGAGTAAATAAAATTGATTTGATAAAAAAATTTTCAACGAGTAACTCTCGAAATACTCCAAGAGGTTTCCTCCAGCGCACGTCGATTCAATAGCTCTTTGAGGTTCTCGGATAAAAAAATAAAATTGAACTAGTTCTCTCGTACTCTTTATGAGTGACAACGGCAAGTGTCTGTGTAGTTGGATGAATTCTCGTGTCACACCAACTGACGAGCTTCAAAGACTTTACGAGACCAGAAAGAAGTGAAAAGATGGAGGAGTACGTCAGCCAATTTTTTTTTTCAAAAGCCCTTGATTTATGAAATAGTGGCTCTTTTAAAATAAATACGAACGGAGAATAATAGTAATGCAATGCATATTATTCTCAAATCAAATAATATTAATAATAATTCATGAATTAATATGTTATTTGGATTTAGAATTTTTGGGGGACTCACCAAGCATTCCAACAGGGAATTGATTAGGCGTCTGAAGATTCTCGATGACACTCTGGGTGACAACCCACACATAATTTTCACCTGTAATCTTGAGATCCCTGGCAGCTGTCAATATGTGAATAGCTTCCTCTCGTGTTGCATAAAGGAGCATAACCCTGGACTCACTGCTGACCAATTCCATGAGATCATTGGGTTTGGTAACGAGTACAGCATTCAATATTGTGAATTTAAATATGTCCTGCATGTCGGATATTCTCTCCCTGACAGCCTGAATGAAGTCATCATGGCCAGCAATCTGTGATGTTACAATGCTGAATTGATGCCACTTGTAACGCTCAAGAATGCTCAGCATTGCTGCTGTTTGATGCTCCAACGAAGGTGCCAGCTGCAGCTGGAGAGAACTCTGTGAAGCTCTCTGTTAATAAATAAATAATACAATAGAACCCATCAACTCGAAGTTAATTGCATGCTGCATGCCTTTTTGCAGATTTTGCAGGAAGTGGGAGCTCCAAGAATTTTCGGGATTCTCCCCAGAATTTCGGGAATTCATCGGCATTAAATTAAACTCACCCTCTCTAAACCGGAATTATCGGCATTCCATGCTATCACTGGTATTCCAAGATAACCAGCTAGCTGGAGAAAATATTGTGCACTTGCTGTACTTCTTCCGTACTGTTCATAATTCATCAAGTAGAGAATCGCTGATACGTTCACCGTGAGGAATTCCTTGCACAAAGAGTCGAGAATTGCTGGAATCAAGCGAAAATGGAAGGAAATGAATATTTGAAATAAATATGAAATGCCATAAAGGGCTCAACTCTGCATCATCTCTCGGAATTTTTGGAAAATTAAATGCAAATGGCATTGAAACAATTTCTACTTTGATATTCTTGAGGTTCGCTAGTCCCCTTATCTTCGCGAGTGATAAGAAAATGTTTGAAACACTTGGAGATGTGGAAATATTGACATTCCAGTCGTTTCTCTCACTCCATTATCTCTCAGAGTCAACGAATGTTCGGATCATTTCTCTCAGAAGCGTTTTGTATTCTGTAGGCGTAAAATGGTAAAATGGTTCAGAGGGGAATGGTTTCTGGTCGTAAAACTCACAACACGTAAACCATAAGTTCAACCCTGTGGCCACATACGAGGGGAAAAATAGGGAAGATCTTCCTTGTACTAGGGTTTTTATCCAACGAGTTATGGCGAGGGTTAATCCCGCGGATTTGTTAACGTTATCCTGATTTACTTCTGACTTTGATTTCTGGAGGGAAACCACTCCGAACGAATCGACAAACTTTATCAATATATCCTCTATTGAAGAAAAAAAAATGCGTGACGATTTTCGTTGCCGATCTTTTTCGCAGTAAAAATTCAATTCTAATGCAATTGAATTATTTGAAATTGTTCTTGCGATGTTCAGAATTAAATTACTCTGGCACCAGCAATGATAAAAATACACAGTAAACTGCACGGGAAAGCCCTTTTAATTCTGCAGATGTGACTTTTTTTCTTTTTTCGATATCATTTTTTAATCGAGAGATATTTAGCATTGAAAATCACAAAAAATTTCCATGAAAATGGAAAAATTCTCGTTTCAAAATAATTAAATATTCTTTTCAACTTCATAAACTTTTACCCCCAATTTGCATAATTAATTGACAACAGTGCAATTAGTAAACCACTGGGCGTTATAATAGAACACCGTAGATACTCCTGATTATCCTGCGGTATATCTGACCTAATATCGATGACAGTACGAATTAGAATATTAAAGCTCTTAACCCAGAGTTCAACCGATAATTTCACGTAATCCCATAAATGGAGAATCGAATCGAGTGCTCAATCCCTTCACCCCAACATTTCTATTAATAAAAAAAAAAACGATTTATCAAAGGCAGTGACTCTCAATCACCAAATGAACTGACTGACCTACATGAAAAATATCTCGAATATAAATTTCCAATCGCAGTTTCCCAAATGAACACAATACAGTTAATGAATCCCTGGGGTGTGTAAAATCAATTCACTCGGAGTAATCTACGCACTTCCTCATGTTGTACGTGATATAGTGAGTAATGAATAACTATTGACCTGATTGCACGTGATATTAATAATGGAATTCTCCAGTCAACCGGAATAGAGTGGAGGTAAGTCAATTTGAGAATGTAATGGATCATCGAAACAATATAAAAAAAAATTTACAAGCCTTCTGTTCACCCGATCCCCTCCAAAATCATTAATTGCACAATTCAGGAATAATTACCACTCGCCCCTTTGACGTGCACTCCTAAATTTAATTGCATTCCGTACCTAACGCCTGATTATTCCGAGATTAGATCGTCTTGATTGTCATGTGCCATCAATTAACCCAATGGCCCATCATTTCGTCGAGTGCCAACGGAATTAATATATAATTAATAAACAATTAATCAATAATTAATAAATAAGATTGAGTATGGAGTGGAGTTGGAATAAATTCTGGATCGATGATGTGGAATTGTTTTTTACCTTTTGGACTGGGTGTCAGCTCCATCATCTTGTTTCTGACTGAATTCTGTCCAAATTGATAACGAGATAGAAATGAAAATCTTCTGGTGCTGCGGTTGGCCTTGTGTAAATTAGCTACGGCTTTGTTAACAGCTTTTGTGTATTCTCTTGCACCAAAATTGGTGTGAGGTACCAGAAGACCAACGGTCAAGGATTCATTTCCAGTACTCGATACCTCCTGGACGGAATAACTCGACAATTTCCAGTCTAATCCGGATTTGGCCAGTGCAAGACCCGCCATCAATGGGAGAAGTCTCAGGGACGAATGCATTTTTATTTTTTTATTATATCCAACTTTTAGTCGATTTTTTTTATATCACTAGATCCCGATGGTTGAACTTGGGTAATCCCTTTTTATTGTTATTACCGATGCATGCTGACGCGTTACGTCAATGTCTCGGTGGTAGTCACTCGTGTGGAATTGCAAATATCTCGGGCGATGCATTCTTCAGGTGCTGGAGTTGAGAAATTGTTTTCCTTCGGGGAATGGGAATTTGTTGGATATGTACTCGACATTTTTGCGTGTGAAAATATTTTAGGTAGTCCGCAGCTTTTGTCAAAATTTAGGTTTCGAAATATTAAAGAAATGTCTTAAATTCACAGTTGCTCGAATTTTTCTAAAGGAAATGTTTAATTAATCCACAATTTAATGAATTGTTCTCCAATTCCGCTTCCCCGATTTTCGAATTAATTTTTGACTTTAAAAATTCGAGAAATTCCGTGAGAAATTTCTGGGAATTTCCATGAAATTCAGTTTTAATGTTAAAAAGTATTGAAAGTTATTGCAGTAATGAAAGAATGAATTATTAATAAAAATCGGATGGAAATTGATTTGATCGATGGAATAAAGTAAATTTTATGAAATTCAAAACTTTCACTAGTCTGAGACCCTCGAGATCGGGTGTTTGGGTTCTCGAGGCATGTAATTCCCCAGGTGATTGGTAATTACCTCGTGCAATCGATCAAGAACTACTCTGGGGCCCTGAATAAGTAAACCACGAGATCTGGCATCAATTATCGCTAGAATTAAATCAATCGGCAATTCATATCCGCCCCAACTCCCGCAAACTTTTTCAATTATCCAATAAATTTCCCTCCAACAACCGAATCCCCAATTCGCACCCCCTCACTTGAATATTATAAATAAACAAAATAGATTCGAGACAATACAACATTCGAGAAAATGTCCATTTACCCCAGAAGTAACCGACGGAGGAAAAGAAGTCAAAAGAAAATCCCGTGGGGGCACGAAAGTGGAGAAAATAGGGGGGAATGGAGGGGATGAAATGTGGGGAAACAGAGGGAAATGGAAGGAACTAGCGAATAGTTCGGTGAACGCACCCCAAGGGATAATGTTGCGCTAGATAAATAACACTAAATGCCACACCCCAATTTCAACTAGAATGCGAGAGAATCCCCACACGCAAAATGGCAACTGTCACGAATGAATAGAAAAAAGTAACAAAGCGCATTGATTTTTGAATAAAAAAAGAAAATTATATAAAAATGTCAAGGACACAGAAGGGCTGGATAAACAATTGAGAGATGAACAATGTAAAAGATATGAATAGCGCACGAATAATTCCAATTAAATCGAGAATTCAATTATCTCAGTGGTTTCCAGGGCAGAACTATTGATTTGTTTCGGTTCTGGGATAGAGGATATTCATTGGAGATCCAACTGGAAATTTATCCTGAATTTTACACCATTTTTTTTTTAATTCGGTAATTTTGGTTTATTGCTTTTGAATGGGGAGTTTCGTTTTTTTGTGAATTGAGGGATCCATTGAGATTCTTTCAACTGAATTCCATGTAATTTCTCTGATCGTCTCGCGGATAATCCTGAGAGGAACCCACTACCAATTACCGAGCGTAAACATCCAATCAATAGGAGTATCCGGTGGAAACCCATTTAATCCCTTTCTAGTTTCTAACTCGAAATCCTCAGGGAAAACCCTGAAATCAATCCGCGAAAAATAAATCCGAGAGAATTCTAAACTCAAGATGAATCCATTTAAATTCCATATGATTAAATAAAATGGAAATAGTATTTTTCATTGAATTATTTCGAAAAGATCGGGATGGAAAGAAAATTGAAAGAAATCGGAAAATAACGATCAATTTTATTAATGAATTTTCCCCGGGCTAATGAAAATTTATGGAAAATATTTCATGGCATATGCAATTGTTAATTAATTAATTAACGTTCAAGTCGCTGCGATTGAGGTTTACGCATCACTCTCGATCTTCGATAAATATCGTTTGATATTGGATGCCCGATCAGCTGATAGTGAATCAGCGCGTGAGTGCAATTTCCACATCACGAGACTTTCCATCGGCCCACGAGGGCAACTGATAAGAAAATCATTCGGTTCAACAGATAAAGACAATTAGCAAGTGAAAAATCGGTAAACCAATGGACAACCGTCTGCAGTAACTCTCAATACACTTTCAATCAAGTCATTAAAAGTCAGCCTGAAATCATCTCGACATCTGATTTTTGTCAATCGATAAATCAATACATAATTCGATTAACAGTTCGATTAATTTATTATAAAACTAATATATATAATAAAATCGGTTATTGTTTTGGGATTTGAAAATATTGGAATAGACGGTTGAAATCAGATGTCAAGAACTATTTATGACTGCAAAGAATTTCAAATGAAAATTGAAAAAAAATCGTGAACTTATTGGAGATGTTTAAATACTCAGATATCAGCTCGAGGTGGCGGGGAAAAATCGGAAAAATTGAGTCAAGTCCCTCGACTTGATTTCCAAGGTCATGCATGACAGTTTTCACTTTTAGTTTGAGTAGTGGCCAGTTGGCGCCAATTCACAATAACACTAACTTCACAATTATCACTAGTGGTCATGATAATTTCATGGGGTGTTAATTGAAAGTGAAAAGTTGGTGAATGGTCAGACTGGTGGATAGACACCGCCCAGATGGTTGAGATTCCCCGGGTGTTGTACGTCCAACGAAAAAACCACCCCTGTGATTATTCCAACGGGAACACCAGACTTCACTCTCAACATTTTGGATGACACGCACGCGCGGTTGCTATGGTAACACCACTGCTGTATCACTTTCTCATGGCCATGCAAGTACAAAGTATTCCAAAGAATTTGCACCGCGTGGCGGAATGGCAATGATACTTTTGCGAAAAGTCGCGCGATTTTTTCTTGCATCAAAAAAAAA